CCAGTATTATATAAACCGCAAAATCACTCTATACAATAATGTGGGATTTATTTGTAATGACAATAGATATTAGTTGAATTGAGCTCGAAAGTGGCTGCCAGTCCACTTCCGAGCTCAATTCAAAGTGCTGGCTTTGACCTATAAATCGCTATACAGTTCTGGCCCAGCTTACTTGTCCAAACGCATCTCCCTCTATGTCCCGCCATGCAGTTTAAGATCATCCAGGGAGGTCCTGCTCTTGCTCCCGCCAGTGTCACAAATATGTCCTGGCGATGATGAGAGACAGGACCTTCTCGGCTGTGGTCCCCCACCTGTGGAACTCGCTTCCCACTGAGGTAAGATCGGCTCTGTCCCTCCTGTCATTTAGGAAGCAATTGAAGTCATGGTTCTGGGACCAGGCTTTTGGACAACAGACATAGATAGCACTTTGGACATGGAACTGGATATGGAATTGACTGGAATGATGTTACGGCTATTAATATTGTTTTTTACTGTTTTAATGAATGTTTTACTTATTGTTTTAATTGTTATTATATTGCTGTGTTATATGTAGTGGCATCAAATTGCTGCCAAATGTAAGCCATCCTGAGTCCCCCTTCGGAGGTTGAGAAGGAACAGGATAGAAATACCATAAATAAATAAATAAATAAATATGTTAGGGAAAATATTATCAAACAATTTGAGGATGTGTTGTTGAAGGCTTTCATGGCCAGAATAACTGGGTTGCTGTGAGTTTTCTGGGCTGTGTGGCCATGTTCCAGAAGCATTCTCTCCTGATGTTTCACCCACATGGATGGCATGACCTCACAACCTTTGAGGATGCCTGCCATAGATGTGGGCGAAACATCAAGAGAGAATGCTTCTGGAACATGACCATACAGCCCAGAAAACTCACAACAGTCCAGCCATGAAAGCCTTCGAAAACCACAAGTATGACGTATTTACCTTGATGTTTTACCATCCTGTAGGAGGCTTCTCTCGTGTCCCCACATGAGAAGCTGGAGCTGACAGATGGGAGCTCACCCACTCCCCAGATTTGAACCACCAACCTTTCAGTTAGCAGTCCTGCCGACTCCATTGGAGATGAGTTGAATCACTCTGATTCTCTTCCAGTGATGAAGTGAAAGTATTCCCCAAATAGCAGCTTTTGGATGCCATGAAAGTGCTGGAAATAATTTCCTGTTTATTATTTTGCTGGCACACCCAGAAAGAAGTGGGAATCAAATAACTTACGTAATACAAATAATAAATAAACCCAAAACAACATTCATGGTATTTTAGGATGGTATATAAAATGCAAAATATTTAAAATCAGTACAGTGAGAAATGGTGGTGTTACATGACAAGTTACACATACATCTCATCTCATTCAAAAGTATTCAACAATTTCTGTGAGAAAATGTACAACAGTGAACTAGAATACATGAAGCCATATACAAAATGTATTCATTGCTAAAAAGTCCATGTCAGATTCTGCTTTGAGATTACTCTACTGCAGTTGATCTTCATAGGCAGTACCTCCGATTGCCTTTTGCCACACTGAAATTAGTCGACACCTGAGTGCCAGTCCATTTCTCTGTGCTTTTTAATCGGAGTTAAATATGAAAACAATCCTTTAAACAAAAAGTATCAAAGATGATATGCCATTTGCATATTAATGCTCAATAAATTATAAAGTGTGACAGCCTCCACTTGGTTTCTCAAAGCGTCCTACAGTGGTGAGTCAATATTCAATATTTATTCAAACTTCGTCCACCCCCACCCAAAACATTGCAGACTACAGTACAGTCAGCCACTAACATTTGCACATTAGACTTTGGTGAATTTATTATTCACAGATTTGATTTAAATGTTATCTCTAGAAGTCTTTAGATCTTCCAGTGTGATTTTGTGGTCAACTTCTGCCATAGAGTGCATTGGAAGGCCTAGACATTTCTAGAAGTAAAACCTATAAGGTTTTCCAGTATGAGATGATAAAAGGTAACCATAAAGTCATGCTGGAGAAACTAAATATTTCTAGAGAAGTGTTCTCTTAGGTAAAAAAACATATTAATTTTATTATACGTGAGGTTTTTGTTGTTGTTTTTTTACTGTTGTAGGGGATCCTCTAGAACCAGCGAATGTGGAGTGATGACTGGACTTGTTGAAAACTTTGTGTTAGTGCCTAGAAACCTTTGTAGAGACTTTGAAATATTCATTATTAGGTTATCAATTAACACACCATTATTGCAAATCTATGAGAACTTTCAGAAAACTTTATCTGGGAAATATCAAATGGATATGATTGCCCTAGTTAAATATGAACATTACATTATAGTAGTAGTAGTAGTAGTAGTAGTAGTTAATGCTAATAGCAATAAACAGAGCTAAACATACTTTTTATAAGTTCCACTGAGTTTAATGAATTTTACTTAATATCGATTAAGGTGGCCTAGGTCCAAAGATTTACTCATCCAGAAGTAAATTTTATTGTAAACAGTGCAATATATTTCTGAGTTAGAAGTGGTTAGGTTTATACTATACTACAATATACACACAAACTTTATATTAATTAAGGCATGATGGGTCATAGGTGAACTAAGAAAACTTGTGTTACAATAAGTTATACAGGTAGATATAACAATATGTTCATTAACAACATATTGAATAAACATGTTAAATGGGTTGTTGTACGTTTTCCAGACTTATGGCCATGTCCCAGAACCATTATCTCCTGACGTTTCACCCATATCTATGGCAGGCATCCTCAGAGTTGTGATCTCACCTGCATCTATGGCAGGCATCCTCTCAATCTCTGAGGATGCCTGCCATAGATGTGGGTGAAACGTCAGGAGAGAATGCTTCTGGAACATGGCCATTCAGTCCAGAAAACTCACAACAACCCAATTTTCCAGCCATGAAAGCCTTCAACAACACATTAAACATATTAAGATTTCACTCCAGTTTTATTATAGAAGACAGAGAACTAAACAATGCTTACCTCAATGATTTCAATAAGAAAATGATGCATATGAATAACAGTCAAATCAGTAGTCGTGCTTAGCTGTACCCAGATAATACCTTAAATCGCAAGTAGTCAAGAATGCATACACAACATATAAGATGAACGATGTGTAAATGGATATATAAATATCTTGGGGTAGAAGATCTGGGATTCGCAAACTCAACCTACCAAAGGTGCATCTACACTGGAGAATTAATGCAGTTTGACACCACTTTAACTGCCATGGCTCAATGCTATGAAATCCTAGGATTTGTAGTTGGGGGAAGCATCCGCAGTCTTTGGAAGAGAAGGTCAAAAGCTTTGTTAAACTACAGCTGCAATGATTTCATAGTGTTGAGCCATGGCAGTTAAAGTGGTGTCAAACTGCATGATTCTATGGGCCCTTCCTCACAGGCATATATCTCAGAATATCAAGGCAGAAAATCCCACGATATCTGCTTTGAACTGGTTTATCTGAGTCCACACTCAGAAAATGTGGGATTTTCTGCCTTGATATTATGATATAGGGCTGTGTGGAAGGGCCCTATAGCTCCTGGGATATATTGGATTAGGTGATAGGGATGATTAGGATTTCCCAGATCTTAGGATGGGATTCCTTTTTCATTTTCTCTCTGTCATGGGATGAGAGAAGGAATCTCAAGGTGAGAGCACTGCCTTGGAAATAAATTATGATTATTTTCTCCCTTTCTCCTGGCTCCCATTGCTGCAGTCTGCTTTTAAAAAGCTGCTGTAGACCCTTCAAAAATCTTCTCCTCTCCCGTCTTTGTCTTATTAGTTAGACTTCGTGGTTTGTCTATTTTTAAGTTGAATGAAAAGCTTTCAGTGTGGCTGATGTTAAATGAGTATGCTTACAACCACCAAGCCATGCACCTTCTGTCATCTCCAGCGGCTGTCCCTAGATTTTGGGTTTTCAGTTTGAAATCTTAGGCCATAGAAATAAAGCAAATAATAAATATTAAACAGCAGACAAACAAAATATCTGTTTGGTTTTTTTTAAAAAAGAAAAGCTAGACTTGTAAACATCAGTTCTGTAACTATAAAAAGCAGAAAAAGAAGGATGCAAACAAAATCCTTCCCAAGGCCAGCAAAATGTATTTTCCCAAACTTCAGCCAGTGGTGCCTAATGTTTTGTTTGATTCTGAAAGTCACCTTCCCTTAGGGGAGTCACAAAGCTCTGGTTGTTTATTGAGTAGTATCACCTTTCATTTTGTAGAACAAAATTCTGTTGCTGTAATCTTGACCTTGAATTCTTCAGATGTGCTTGCATTACAGGAGTGCTTGTGCAAAACTGGGCTTATATCTGCTCCTAGGATAGACTTTCTCTCTTTTGTAACCAAAATAAGCTGGAAGAAAGACTGAAAACATGCATTCTTGATTACCTATTAAATTCTAGTCATAAATTAGATGTTTTCTTTCTCATTCCGGTAAAAGGACCACAACTGTCTGCATTTCCTTAAAATTTCTGAAAATATTATTGCATTTGGTATTACTATATAAGGGGCTCCCGGTGGCGCAGTGGATTAAACCGCTGAATTGCTGAGCTGCTAAGCTTGTTGACCGAAAGGTTGCAGATTCGAATCTGAGGAGTGGCCCCAGCTTCTGCCAACATAGCAATTTGAAAACATGAAAATATGAGTAGAAGGTAACAGCACTCCATGCAGTCACACCGGTCACATGACCTTGGAAGTGTCTACAGACAACACCGGTTCTGTGGCTTAGAAATGGAGATGAGCACCAACCCCCAGAGTTGGACACGACTGGACTTAATGTCAGGGGAAAACCTTTACCTTTACTATTACTGTATAATGTTCCTTATGTTTGGAATTAGTATATAAAATCACGGGTGTGGGAAAATCCGCTCTAAATTAAACTATAAAGTCATACAGCCAGGAAAAACACTTGAGGGAAAAAACAAGTGAAAGATATTTGATCTTAAATCACATCTATGATAAAAATGCTTGTATAACAAATGATCATTCAGGCTATTGCCATACCATCCTATACAATAAGGCATTCTTTATTTCCACTGTTGAAATTACTCCTGATGTAAAACACCTCCTATGCAATATGATTCGTCATGCTCTGAAAGCCGTTGATGATAATACAAACACATCATTTGGGTTTATGATATTTTGTAGTATGAAAATATTTTCTAAGATTGTTCCCCTCACTACTTTCATAGGTTTACGTTACCTTCTCCACATGATCAACACCACTATTTTCACAGCTTAGTTTTAATAAAAACATTTGATAGACAAAAAACAATACATACATGGCAAGATTAAAATGTCTATATAGTTTATGTAAAAGTAACAGTGTTCACAGGAATTAACAGAAGACAAACAATCGCCTTCTGCCCCCCAACTCCAAGGAGTAAATATAGATTAAAATTAGACCTGGAAGGCTCATCTTGATTTTATACTAACTTCGACCTTTGGCAAAAGAACTTAAGTGATAATGAGGTTTTTAAAGGATGTGATTGTTTTTAATTTGCAAGATATTAAAAACTTTCCTGCAGATTCACATTGAAGGATAACTCAAAATTTTATAGCCAAAAGCTGGCTGCGAGAAACTATAGTTCACCTTTCTCTTTCTTCAGCATTTGGCTCTCAAAGGTACATTGTCTTTGCTTGACATGTGTAATACAGGGTTATTTCCACTGCGTTCAGCAAAATTTACTACCAAAAGACAGCAACAGCATAGCGCAACTTAGGTAAATTTATCTGAGAATAATGGCTATTTATAGTTCTAATTAGAGTAGGCCCACTGAATCCATTGTAGAATGGTGAGTCAATTCTATTGATCCACTTAGGTTACTGTAGTTGGTACAAAGGCAAGGATATATGTATAGCCTTCAAGGTACCAGAGGACTCTTGGCTACTTTCATTTTAGTGAAATTGACTTTGGGCTCATCTACAAGTGTGTAATAACCATTACTCACTGTGATGTCACTCTTAGCTACTCCCATTACATTCTGCAGTTTCTGGTTGTTGTCATGGGATAAACTGCGTTAACCCAGTTTAGCCCCTTGTTAAAACTTGGGAGATGCTCCAGACTTTGACTGAAACTCTGCAACAACTCCATGGCTTTGACATAGTGTCAACAACAGGACTGAGTCCAGTTTGCTGTCCACATGGGCTGACATTGGCAGAGGCACCCACACAAACAAGGAGATAGAGCAAGCCAATCCACCTTCTTTTTTTCTGATGTCAGCACAGGATGTCCACAATGGGCAAGAGCTCTCACTGTGGTTTTCTGACAGCAGTGATGGTGATGCGGAGAGCAATAGTGATGGTCGTGGCCCAGCTGGTCTGGCTGGATTCCAACCTGCTGTTGCCACAGGTTAAGGATAGTATGTGTATCTGCCTCTGGACTGGCTCTGGATATAGATGAAGCCTGAGAGTGGTTCCAGACAACACTTTAATGTGAGCCCAATTGGGTTTTAAAAATCTGATTGGATTCACACTGAAGTCTACACATGCCCCAGAAAGCTCATCCTTTTCTGAGGCGGGTGTCCAAATGCCCTACCCATAAAATGGCAGCAGTTTGAAGATATATGACATGAAGAATGTTAGCATTCCTGGAAGAAAAGTTCCAACCTGGTCTGATATTCTTTTTAATAAAGGGAAATATTAAGAAATGTTATTTCTATCAATTTTATAGTAATCTGAAAGGTTAAATCCATTCCACTCCTTCATTCTGGTGCATGTGTAGACCCAGTCTTTGCATACCTTCATCTCATAGTTACAACATTTAAGATATCTCACACGTGAAGCATAGCCTCATAAGTACTCTTGGTTACTACGTTGTGGCCTAGAGCTTTCAGATGACACTAAATTTAATGGCAGCTAAACATTTCAGTGTGATTTTAATGTCTGAAGTGAAGACTTAGCTGAAAGACGATAAATCCAAGTCTCTGTTTTAGTAAAAAAAAAATTAGTTACCAAGCTTAATTGTGTCAATGGCTCGAATAACCATCGGTTTAAAAGATGAACTTATTGGTCCTTCACTATAACTCTCTGCTTTGTATTTTTCTAGGCTTACTAATCTAGCTTTGTCCTCCTTTACTACACCAGTTTCATATTTTTTATTCTGTTCACGTTCTAGCTCTGATAAATCATGTGCTGGTAGTATTTTGTACTTGCCGGCACTATGCCTCTGTTCTATAGGATGTGTCTCGTAGGAAGAGGATAAGTGGGCACCTGCTGCATCTGTCTCACAGGCTGTTTTTCCCCCTTGCGGCGTTCTGTCCTGACTCAGCTGAGACTCTCTCTGTATGTCAACATTCTTTGAGGAGCCAGTCTTCTTGCTACCATTCCTTTCATGTTTTCCTAGGTCATCTGAGGAAAATGGGAGATATTTCTCAGAATTATGACACTCATGTTTTTCATCTCTACTTGGTTTAGGCTTGACACAATTTACTGATGCATGGGGTTGCTGTTGCTGTTTCCCTGCTGTGAAATTACTTTGATGACTCTTTGGTTTTACATCCGATAATGGTAACCGGCCCTTCTTGATGTTCCACGGTGCTTGCCTTTCATCCTGAGTAATAACTTTAAGGTTCCTGGAATCATTTGAGGATGGGTTTTGTGTCTTTCCGCCTGGAAGATTCATTGGCTCAGTAATCTGTTCTTTTGATGGTGGTATTTTATCTTTCTTCAAATGGCCCAAAGTGCTCCTCTCTCTTTCAGTATTCTTTTTACTCTTCAGAGTTTCATATTTTAAAGCTAATATATTCTGTCCTGAAGCATGTCTCTTGTCCGTTGCCGTCCCTATTTTAATTCCAGGCTTCACTTTATCATCAGATGGTAAAGAAGATGGTATGTTGTCATGTTGAAGCACATCCTGGGTATTTTTTCTTTCAGCGTTAGTATCATTTTTCATTGGTTCTATGCACGAAGAGTGTTGGTCGTTCATAGTGGTCTTGTTTCTTGCTGAAACACCACTACCATCATCAACACCACGTTTAACTAAATTTCTTGATGAAGTTTGATGTGTTGAGTCATCTGAGGAATGCAACAGTCCTGGCTTTGGTGGAACTATGTCTTGTGTTTCAGTAATATTTTTTTCTGATTTTCCTCCACCATCCTTCGAAGGGTCACCCTTTATTGAATCCTTGGGCTCCTTGGAGTTTTGCACTGCTTTCTTAATTTCCAACAGAGAAGTTTTGTCTTCTGTCCCCTTGTCCTCTTGTCCCTTTCTGTTCACAGCTGGTGGCTTTAGGCATTGGATTCCCTCTGATGCATTTTGTTTTCTTCCAGCACTACTTCCCAGCAGGACTGTTTTATTTTGGGAAGGGAAACTGCTTTTTCCAGATTTCTCTTTTTTTACCATCACTTGGGTGTTTTCTTGCTCCTCAGTTTTATTTGGCATGGTCATTTCTTGCTTGTCCACATTGGGCATGGAGTCTGCTTCTCCTACAGGACTGATTTCATTTCTCTTTAGCTCCCTTGTTGGGGTTAGTTGATACTTATTTTCATGTACCTTTGGCAAAATGTTCTTGTTTTCTACAGTTTTCTTTTTGCTCTTGATTAAATCATTGTGCAGATTGCATGCTGCTTTTTGATCTTGTCCAGGGGTGCTCTTGTCTTTTTCCCTTTCACTCAGAGAAGATGGGTGATGTTCCTCAGAACTATGTCCTACTGCCTTGTCTTCCTGAATACAGCTTTCATTTTTTGACAGTTCCTTGGGTAAAGGTGTTTGGATGTTTCCACCACCACAGTAAGGTCTATTGACTTCTGCAATATTATTCTCTGGTTTGACTAAATGGTCCATTGAGGATGAATGACATTTTTGTGAAAAAGATCCAGGAATTTCTACCAGCTCATAGACTTCATGGCTAATAACTTCTTTTAAGAGGCTTCGGGAAGTCTCTAAGTGATTTACAGAAATCTTTTCTTTCTCATTATTGGGCTCTGGATTTGTTATTGCATTGCCTGAACATAACTTATCTGCATCAATATTCTCCACTGTTGTAATACCACTGGGTTTTTCTAAAACAGCAGAGGAAGAATGCTTTTCAAGCTTGTTCTTTTCATCATTATTCTCTTTCCGGCTATCATCAGACATGCGAGTTTGGCCTTCCTGGTTCAGAGTCTGTTTTGATATGTTTTGGCTGTAGTTATCACGGTTACTTTGTTGGCTCTTTGGCTTCTGGGGAAAAGGCTCACTTTGGTCAGGCAACTTTCTTTGACTTTTCACTGCCTTTAGCTTCTCTTGCTTTGCTTGATTTGCTTGTTCACCTTTGGGAGCATTTGAAGATATTTCTCCCATTTCAGACTGTTTTTCTTTGTTCTGAACCGTATCAGAACACTTGCTCTTTGGAGCCTTTACAGTCTCCTGACTTGGCTTTAGTCGAGGCATTTTGTCGACAGCTGCAGGTTCAATGCTTGGTTGCAGGTCAATGGCTGGAGACTCCATGTTACAAGATGCCTGTGCACCAGGAGACTGAAATGGTGGAATATTTTCCATCACTTTCTCTTCAGGGAAGCATTTTTGGCCAGCAAAGGGAAGATCTTTATTGGGCTCTGTTAATTCTATTTTGGTCTGCTTTGGCCTACACATGCCCTCAGATATGCCAAGGATCTCATTCCCTTTAATTTCCTGGTGTCTGTGTGCACTTACCCCTTTGGTTGGACGAGATGAGGAGCAGGTAGTAGGGACACTATCATTGCTAACAGTGTGTGATTTATTTTCATCCCTAAAGCTAGAGAATGTATTGTCTGCAGTTGGTAGGAAATCCTCTTTATGGTCTAGACTGGTTTTAAGTAATGCAGGAATGTTGCCTACACTGGACACACTTTCTTGTGAAACCGGAACACTATCTAGATTAGAATCTGGACTCTGAGAGATCACATCAACCTCAACTATGCCCTTTTTGTCAGTCACAGCCATAGGGATTTCACGACTTTTGTTTTGCAACTGTCCTTTTTGATGTCCTTCCTGTACCAAGTTCTTTGGTATCTTGTTCTCATCAAGCTGAACATCATGTTTATTCTGGGTCTTTTTTGTTTCCTTCCCTTCAGGTTTATGATCAGAAAGCTGAACAGTAGACTTGCCATTTGTTGCCCAGCTCCAAGGGTGGCTAATTTCAGTAGCAACACAGAATTTAGGCATTGGAACAGTTGTACACACCAAATGCTGAGGCTGAAGACCATGTATATTTGTGACTGTCCTCAGGTCCATCTCCAGCACTCTGACTTCAGCTTTGCAAATCTTTTTTTTCTCTGGCCTGTTTTTATTCTTTTTTTCACATTTGCCTGGAAGAAAAGCTTTCACATCAATAGCAGAACAAACATTACTAGTTTGTTCAAATTTCTCTTTCAATATGGACAAGACAGAGTTTTTATTGATTATTTTGGGGAGGTTATTGTTTGGTGTTTTCTTTTTTGGTGTTGGCTGCTTCTCCTTAGCTGCTTTTTCCTTGGCTGCTTTTTCCTCGATAGCTAAGAATTTCTTCAGAACGTTCTTCACAGTATTTTTTCCACAACAGCTGATCCATTTGGCTTTGTCTTGGAGTATTATTCTCGGACTTTCCTCTTCTGTTAAAGAGTTTTTGTCTAGCTTGCTCACAATAGAGTTTAGCCCATTTCTACCTGCAGTCTGCTTTTCTTTAATGTTTAGCTTGCCAACATCTCTCGACCTCTTTCGATAAGGCTCACGATTGCTGTTCAGGAACCTTGACTGCAGAAGCTGGAATTTTGTGGGGCGGGTGCTACTGCGTGGACTCTGACATTCCCTCTTTGCGTTCATCATGTTTGCTATGTTTTCCTTCCACTTGGCTTTCTTGCTTTCATTTTGTGGATGGCTGGAGAGGAGGTCTGTGAGGTATTCCAGAAGGCTGCTGAGGACGGCAAATGCTCCAAATTCTGTCGACATCTTGTCAAGCTTCTTCTTCAGTGCCATTGGATCAATCTGCACCTGGTCACTGCCCAGTTTTGCATCCTTTCTTTTGCTGCATAAAAGAAAAGAATGCTTTTGGGGGCGGGAAACGATAAACATTGCTTTTACTTTCTTACTTTTAAAAGTTGTGACTTCTACAGTGCCAAGTGAATTAGTATGAACAATTGCCTCAGGTGGAAAATGAGATACGCTATGTCACCCCAGTCATCGTGACCATCATTTGGAGATGACTACTGGAAGCTGTCCAGGAATGGCAGTTCTCCAGTACGTTTCTTAAAAAATCTGAACACTTATCCAGGCACAACCCAGATCATTATCAGTGGTTGAATGCAAAAGTAGGAGTGAAAAATGGTACCAGGAAAGAAATAACCTAATCAAAAATTACTGTGTAGTTCCAAATTTTGCATATCTTTTTCCTATCCAATTGTTAGGGTTGGGTAGAAACATTGGAAACAGGTCTTTGGTGAAACATGGCAGAGATGTTTTCCCTTTCAACAGAGTGGATGCTTTATAACAAACTGCCCTTTAAATTACAGGTTTGTCATGTGACAATGGAAACAATTGTCTGTTAAACACCAGTACTCAAAATCATTTGTGTGAAACTCTTTAGATCTTGTCTTAATCGTGTGTAAGAGATAATCAGCAAGTTTTGAAATTAGATGTACATATTTTTTCTAGGGTTAAGTGAAAAACACATAATTGCTTTTTTCCCCAGTTATGTGGGGAAACATTCTTTTTAAATCCCCTTTTCTGACAGGACCACACTAAATACCATTGAGACTGCAAGAGCCAGGGAAATAAAGGCATTGTATGTAATGATATCCATTGAACAATATCAATTGGCCTCTCTATCCTTTCAGTTGTTAACACAGGACTGAAAGTTTGGCATGGCTGCAAGTCTACTGCTTGAAGAATTAGGCCTACGGGCAGCTGGGGATTTAGGAAATGCTTTAACTGGGTAGGATCAGTTACTAAATAAAATTGTGAACTCAGTGTGAAAGCCACACAGTGAAGTCAACATCAACAGAAAACAGCGGTGGGTAAGGTGGAGGGACACACTAAAAGGTTCAAATTGCTTGCACCACCACAACAAAAAAAGTCTCTGAGAAGTTAATTGTTGTGGCAATAAGTAATACGTGAATAGGATTTAGTTTGCATACCAGAAAAATATTACATTTTTATACCTCTTCATATACAAGCAAGAAGCAAGACGGCAAATTATCTTGGGATGAAAACCTGGCTCTGATTAACACAAAGGCAAGTATAACTTCTGTCTTCAGTAGCTCAGGATTTCATCCTCACCACAAAACAACAAGGCGCCTTATACCATATAAACAGAGTGTTCCCCTAATTTTGAGAAACAACATACAATAGCTTTGTTTAGATAGATTCTGCCATCCTTGTCAGTCATTCCAGTCAACTACTTCCTTGCTCAGTGTATCATTTGAGGTGCTTTTAAGTTTATAGCAGTGGTTCCCAACCTTTTTTTTTGACCAGGGACCACTTGATCAGGGACTACTTGACCAGGGACCACCTTGACCAGGAATCACTCTCCAACATTAGTACCAAAAGGATTACAGATCGGATTGGGGGTGCTGATTCAGAAAATTGCATTGGATAGACCACATCAGCTCTAGTTTCTGATACAGAACATACACCATGGTAGGTGACAGGGAAGGAGTGGCAGGTGGTACAAAAGGAGTGGAAATAAAATAAAATAAATAAAGAGGAAGGAGGCTTGCAGAACAGATTTTTGTCCTTGTGGCCTACTGGTGGTTCACAGCCACTGGTTTATAGGATGTAGTGACCACGCCCTACAAACTGGAGGCCAGTTCAATTTGGAAAAAAAGAGGAAAAAAGCACAAAAAGGGATTTTGGTGTCAGGGTGGGAAAATAAAACAAATTAATGGCAAAGGGCAGATATTTGATATGTGTGTGTGCTTGTTCCAGTGTAATTTTGGTTAAAACAATGCATTTTTGCAACATTTGTTGTGGTGTCTTCTTTTTACCCTATTGACACTAGAAAAATAGGTGGTTGCCTCACCTCACATTAAACATCAACCCTCTACCTAAAAGTAAAGATTGCAGAATCCAGTCTTCAGAACTTTACTCACAAGTAAAACATTACACACGAGAACATTAGAACAAAGCATTTGGTCTCAGTGTCACAGGCTCCATTTAGAGTGACCTTTACCAATATATAATGTCCAAAAAAAGACAGGATAAAATTGACATTTGACCAGCATCAAACACATAGACACAATATTCACCCAGTGAATGATGTTGAGTGACTAGATCTTGTCCCAGGGAAATTTTTTCCACCTGCCTTCCTCATGACAACATACGCGATAGATACTTTTATAAAAAGCAATGTTCTGCTGAAGCATAATGCAGACATGACAGACCCGGTGAAGTCACTGCTTCAAAGATTACATTTATTGGAACTGGTGTTAATCTCTGGACCATGCCATCACGGGTTGTGTTCCCATTACACAAGTGTGAATTTCAAGGATGAAGATTAAATATTACAGAGGATTTTGAAATTTGCCTTTCAGGATTTAAACAGCCTTCCAAAGGGGTGGATGTACGTCAACATTTCATTTCAAGTGAACACTGCAATGCATTTCTCAGTCTACACACACTTGTCTTGTCCACTTGCTGATTGAAACATGACTTCCCAAACACAAAGGTCACATTCATGAAGTCTGATAGCTAGTACTGTGAGTCTAGGGCTTAATTTGATTTTCTGCCACTGTTCCCAAACACAGGATTTCTTTCTTATTTAAATAAACTAAAGCAGAGTTGGTCCTAATACTAGGCTGGCTGCTTTAGGACACAGATCTAAAATTATGAGAGATTATGAAAGGGCAGCAAGAAGTTGTTTGGTTGTTTTAAATGTATTTTACTGCCATGGATGAGAAGCAGCACTTTTGGGATTTTGTGCCTCATTACTCCAAATAACTTGTCTTTACATAATATACACCTTTGCAGGCATGTAGCCGGGGGGGGGGGGCTTGAGGGGCTTCAGCCCCCCCCCCCGAAATTCTCATGGTGGTTCGCGAAAAGGCCTTACTGGTGCATTATTTAAACTGTTATGTTTATTCATATCATGATCTGATCACCATAATCAATATATCCCATATGCATGGGGGTATTGGGGTAATGATACAAAAGGTTTGCTAGGCTAGACCCTCTTTCACTCAGACTCAGCCCCCCCCCCGAAACTCAGCCCCCCCCCCCCTGAAAATTTTTTACCCCCCCCCCCCCGAAACGAAATCCTGGCTACGGGCCTGCACCTTTGGGTATCATTTCTGTTGAAGCAAGGTGCAAATTATCTTGTATTGGCATTGACTCAAACTATAAGGTATATTTATTTGGACTGTTTCTGCATTGTCTTAGGTGTGTGTGTGTGTGTGTGTATTTGCCTTTAGCAGTAAAGGGACTCTTTACTGTGCTAAAGGTTGGCAGTTTGAAGCCACGGGTCAGGGTGAGCTCCTGCTGTCAGCCCTAGCTCCTGCCAATCTAGGAGTTCGAAAGCATGCAAATGTGAGTAGATCAATAGGAACCACTTTGGCGGGAAGGTAATAGAGGCGCCCATGCAGCCATGTCAGCAACACAACCAGGAGGTATCTATGGAAAATAGGCTCCTCAGCTTGGAAATGGACCAAAACCACCTCCCCATGACCAGAGTTGAGCATCACCTCCAGAAAGCCAGAGATGAAAGGGGAAGCCTTTACCTTTGTTCTGTGTATTTGTATGTCATTGTTATTCTACTGTATTAAAGGCTTTGAATGTTTGCGTATCTGTGTATGCTGTAATCTGCACTGAGTCCCTCAGGGAGGTAGAGTGGAATATACATAAAGTGTATTATTATTATTATTATTATTATTATTATTATTATTATTATTCCATGGTGACACATAGAAACGTAAGGCGTTCAGGATGAAAATGTACTCAGCTTTTTAAATGCTGATGATAAGATATTAATTGCTCTTCTTCTATGGTTATAATGTCATTTTAATTTGAAGTTTACACTATGGTTTACCTATCATTTCCACTGTTGTTGTTTTAATGAAATGAAATGTAATTAATTTTTCATGAAAGTAATGACATACCACTACGAAATAGCCACTGTGCCCTACAAGAGTGGCTATAAGTCAGAAATACTGATTTATAGAAATCCATACAAATAAAATTATTTTCTCCATCACTTCAGAATGGCAATGCCTTTAAGCAAATTAATGTTGGCACAATCTTGATGTTTCTACGTGTATTTTTCCCTACAGCAGGGGAAAGAGGAAATATGTGTCAAAATGTACAAGTTCCCAACAGGTTCCAAAAATTCCCGATGAAGGAAACAATCTCTATGGCCTCTCCCACAAACATTTGTGTTTATATTAAGCCTGAATCATTTGTAGCCTTTGAAGCTATGGATAGCTGCTCTATTTATCTTTGTCTTACACCTGCAGGTCGGCCTTGGAGGTATGTAATAGGTTCAATAGGAAGGGTGGAGGGGATGCTTCAGATCTTTGCTAAATGATAGGAAGACTTCAAGGTTTATGAGAAACAATTGCCTTTTGTTTTACTAGATGTTTAGTGTAATTGTAGCAAGTAGCAACTATGTTGTCAAAGGCTTTCATGGCTGGAATCACTGGGTTGCTGTGAGTTTTCCGGGATGTATGGCCATGTTCCCGAAGCATTCTTTCCTGACATTTCACCCACATCTATGCCTGCCACAGATGTGTATAAAATATCAGGAGAAAATGCTTCTGGAACATGGCCATACAGCCCGGAAAACTCACAGCAACCCAATAGCAACTATGCTGAAAATGTTTTTAAAAGCCATTTTTAAAAAAATCCAGAGGAGGAAAATGTAGGTGTGCCAATGTTAGGAAAGAAGGCAATATCTCAGTTTTCTTTTTAATTGCTACTGTATTGGTTCTATTTTCTTGATGCCACAAAACAACATTTCAAAGCTTTGGTAACAGAAATTCTTGGCTACAGATAAACAGCCATGATCTTGACCAACACTGACCCACTGAAAGCTGCAAGCGAGAATTCCAACAGTGACACAATAACATGCAAGAAGCACAACATGAGAATAAAGAATTATGCTTATGAAGAGGCATAAGATTAATTTATTTACAAGTATTTTAAGCCATTCAAATCATTCAAATGTTTTCCTAGGATTTCAAAACAAAACAAAATACCACAAAAATATATATACGAAGGCTACATCAGGAATATTTATAGATTTGCTACATCTGTCTGCTTTTTTTTCTTTGCATCTGTTTGTATTCTACTACTTTTTGGTTTATTTCCCAGACTTGGTACCCATTCTTTAGAATAATTTTATGATGTGAAAGATATACATTAAATGGACTGTGCATTATGTGATGGAAGAAAGAAAAACAAGATGAAGGAAGGAGAAAAGAAAGAGTGCAGAAAATCAAGGAAAAAGTAAAATCTCAAAGAACACTTTTGATAAATGTGAATATGTTAGTGTGTGTAGGCAGCATTAGTTTTGCATGTGAACTATTTGCATGTGAATATGAGAATGGCAATTATAGGAAAATAGAATAAGAAGTGAAAGATATTTTATACCCTTTTAAAAAAGAAAATCAAATGAAAATGTATGTTGACATTCTGTAGCATCATCTACATTAAAAGGAATTCCAAAATACTGAATGCTTACATTGCTTAAATACTAAACCTGTCGCTATTAGATTATTTCTTTATTATTCAGTTTCTTGCCTGAAGATTTGAATACGTTTTTTTACACTTACCTATAATGGTAGTGCCTGCAGTAACCATGTTGATATTATGGTTGTGGCAATGAAAGCAAATGTAGCTTTGCAAGCTGAAATTATTTGGGTCTCTAAGATTGTACGTTCATGACATGTATGCCATTCACACATTATATTTTTAAATATACACTTTTAGAAAACTTCAGATCTTAGAAAATTAATTGACTTTGAAAACTGGAAAGATCTAGGAGCTGTCATCCAATTTTTTTTTAATTTTCCAAACTCTGAATGTATATTAAAAATGTAATGACTGAACTAAATAAACTAGTATTAGGGAAATTATATAGGAGCACTCCCGTGATATTAAACACAATGGGATTCCAATGGAATTTGTGGGGATTTACATAATTATTTTGCTGATCTGGTTAAGGCCACCATGTTGGGAAATTGGCAGCAGAGTATAATTCTTAAAAAGAAAATAAAATAAAATGGCAAAACATCTTTACTTTTCCTCCGAAGACAGTCGAAAAATAGTCTCCCCCAGGTGTTCTAGCCTCTCTCGTTGTTCCAGATCCTGGTACAAGCCTTTAGGAACTTTATTGAGGCCATAAAGCAACCCGTACAAACAGCCAGCAATAGCTCCGGTTGCAGCACTTTCACCTGTAAAATCAAGCACAAATGAGTGCCTTTTGTGCAGTGTTTATAGTGGACTCTGCAGAAGATACTTCAGCTGTGCTTTGTAAAAAAGGTAAATAGCCTGTTAAGCAAGCCTTGCAAATACTGGTTTGTAATCGGGAAATGTTTGATTTTTATACCTATTTTCATTTAAAAATTTCCTCAGACAGAAAGAGACTGTGAGAGGAAAAAGATTAAGAAGCCCTGAGTTAACTAGTACATTTCTCAGTAGCAGAAGACAAGGCATGACGGTTGGTGATATTTCCACTTGTTCTCATGTGACATGCCTCAGGGGGAGATTTGGAACTAAGGTTGTAAAGTTTTCACCAGCTACTAATGAGAAGAGGAGCCATAACTCATCGGTAGAGCAGAGGTTCTGCACCGAGAAGGTACTTATATGGAATCTTTATCACTTGGCCCTCCCAGCAGCCACCGCAGAGAAAGTATAATCCATGAGCAAGAGGTCAACATTTTCACCTTCGCTAGCATTCCATAAATTGCACAAGGTTCGAAGGTTTTGTTAAATTCCACACAACAAAAACAACAACCATCCTAATAAACTTGACTTCTCATTAGCCAAAAGCAGGCCCACACTTCCCATTGAAATACTGGTACGTTTATGTTGATTAAAATGGTTCTTCATTTTATGTATTTCATTTCTTTTTACATTATAAATAAGATGTGTGCAATGTGCATAGGAATTCATTCAGTGGTCTGGGGGACCATGAACCTAACACTAGTTTAAAAGTTTGAAGACCCAAGCATTAGAGGATCTGGAGCACATCTACACTGACGATATAATACAGCATTGAACTGGTTTGGGAGAAACCGGTTTCACTGTACAGGTGATTTGACTAGCAGGTTTGAAACTGGTTTGAAACCACAGAAACTGCTCTTAAACTGCTGTACAGGGTTTTTCCCCCCCTCCATTTCTTGAACCAGTTCTGGAGTGGGCTCTACAATCCACATTTTGCTGAGCTGATTTCACCCTAGATCTGGGATACACTAGCATCTCCTAGAGTGCGTTATTTGGCTTAAGTCAGTCTTTCCTGCTACTTTTTTTATTTGCTGTGCATCCTTAAATGCATACTGCAAATTTGAATTGTCTCAAAGCTGCATTATAGTATGAGTATAGAAAGGACCCTAGGGATTCCTAGAGAAGTGTTTTTTCAGGTTAAAAAGTAGCCATTTTAATTTGAAATTTCCTTGCAGCCCTAATCCTGGTAGATGGCTGTATTAAAAAAAGGCACATTACTCACCCCCGTGGAAAATGGCTCGGTTGCAGAGCTCTGTCCAATCAGTACCACATCCCAAGAGAGCATCATACGCAATCATTGGAGCATCATGACCTCTCCTTCCTCCACGACCTTCTGAACTCCATCTCCTGTAAGTCTAAATGGATAATTAACAAGCTTCCTTGGGTGACTTCACTGGCAATGCATACATAACACTCCACATAGTACAAAAATGCAATATAAAGTGCACTTACATATGTATGTATTCCATTGTTTAAAATGTTTTGCGTTGTATTAGAAAACTTTTTTTTGCATAAGCAATCACTATTAAAGCTAGTATAAGTTTTGACAACTTTGACACAACATGTCTCTTGAATACAAATCTGAGAAACATGACTAGACCCAAACCTTTCCTACCTGAAGCACAGCAGCAAATGGTAGTACTTGCTAAACCCAAGGCAAAAACTATCCAAGGTTAAACAACGGGGATGTGTGAGCCATTAAAAATGGTTCAAAAGCCATTACAAAACTGGGGGTGTGGGTGTGTGTGTGTGACACTGACACTTCATTTCTAAAGTGTTTCTAAAGTATACTTAGTGAAAATGTTGTTACTATAATGAAAGTTATGAAATTTTGTTACTATTTCATTATAGGAATTATTCATGTGCATAATTACTATATTTGGGGAAACTTCGGGGGCTCATATCTCCCTCATTTTTAAAGCTATTGGGGTGAAACTTGCTACAATGGTAGAACATTTCACTTATCCGTGGATTTTTGGCTATTTTTTTATAAACAATGTTTTTAATAATAAAGAAATCTGTTCCTAGTTTCAAAGTGTTATTTCCTATTTAATTTTATAGTCTTTACTTTGAAAGTAGTTGTTCTACTCCAGAAACTTTGTTTTTCTGGCAGAAACTTCATTAAATTGGTGGAGACTCAACAAAGTAAAATGTGCTATATATAGGACGATGTCCCTTGTGCAAAGTTTTTGCAGTGTAATAAAATTTTGGCATGTATTTATGACAGTTTCAATTAGGAGATGACATTTATAACCCAGGAACAGAAATCATAGTGTAGAATATTAACAAATGTATTGGAACTCTGGCTGGCTACAAATTGATCTCCTCTCCTGACTGGGGTTTTCTGATACTAATGCATACTGGAAAACGTAGTTTAGGACAGAGCCTTTTGAATTCTTTGGCATAGGGCTCCTCCCCTTCCCAAAATGCACTGCTCCCTCTGTTTCCTTCTCCTATTGGTGAGAGGCCATTAATTTAGAAAGTCAAGGCAGGCACCAAGGCTGCCTTTTTGGCTTTGCCTTTTGAGCTTTGCTTCCTTGTACTGAATATGAAACTGACTTTGGGAGCCTCCCGAGATTTCCAAAATTAAAAATTTAGTATGTCTTAATTTTTGGTGCATAGCACATGTTGGATATTGCATCATAAGTACAAATCATACAAAACTGATATGATTTACAATGCTTTCCGTTTTTTTTTTGGGGGGGGGTTGCACATGCCGATTAATCACGTTATTCTGATACCTGAGACAGAAAATTCCATCGTTTTCCTGATACCTGGCAATATTCATTCAATAATCATAAAAGCTAGTAATAATCATCCTGCTGCACTTACACATAATGCTATTTGAGGTGAGTGTGTCACTCTGTCTAATGATAGGGCTGTTATCAAATGAGGACTCGTGTCACCTTATCACAAGATTGTAGTGATTTCATTTGCTCCTTTTACATTACTGATATGGCAATTATGGTTAAAGATATAGGATAAATCCATCAGGTCTGCATTTTTGCACAGACCTACCATATTTGTACCTGGAAAATTTAGAACATGGCTGGACTTTCTTATCAAAACCCACATTTTTCAGAATTTTACAAACCAGTTTGCAACATTTAAAAACTTGTACATGAGTGAAAAATATACCCCCAAATGTACAAATATAAATGTACAAGGGAAAGAAAAAATGCATTGTTGCGGGAAAATATTAAATGTGCATATGCTAGAGAAGGCATGTTTAAAAAATTGAAAAACCATGCAGACTTTACAAAATGAATTTTGCCATGTCTGCTAACTGATGGAATGCATGCTGAAATTATCAGAGTTAGAGAGATTTTTTTTTTGCAAAAGTAATATTCATAAATTTGCCCTTCTGCATCATACCAAAATATTCTCAAGACAAACTCAGGCTTTACATTAAGTAATTGGATTAAATTAAATTAATTAGATTCACATAAATTGCTTCCTTGGAAGAGAGCTGCATGTTAGTATTGCTTTTGGCAAACATTTTCATCAATTGACTGAAAAATACATTCTTTAAAGAATTGGAGAAGAAGAGAGGTCCAACAGATCAATGATTTTTAATCTGGATGCTCCTGTCTCCTGCACCCACTGGACATCTCTTACATGCAGTGTAGACTTAACATTTCTTTTCATATACAGTTATTACATCAGGATCTTGAGCACAAACTCTACATATAGCTTATGTTTCACTGTTTATGCAGGAGATGTACAACACATCTATAAAAGGTATAACTTTCAAAGCATGACATAGCCGAAAGGATAGGCACTCAGTGCAATAAATGTTCCCAAAATAAATAAGCAAGCCACTCTGAATACTAAGCACATCTTTTTCTTGAAGTACATTCATGTTATCATCAGTCACATCTATTTTGATCTTTTTTTCAAAACAATTGCCAGCAATTGCTTTCCTTACTGGGACTTCATACCATGCCCTAACCTACTGCATCTGTGCATGGTTTGGTAACTCCAAAGGCACTCCAATAGGTCACCAATACTGTACAGAGACTCATTGGTTTCACTTTCCCCTCTTTGGAAGAACTGTATAAGTCCTGCAGCCTTAAAAATGCTCAAAACATTCTTAAAGATCAATTTCACCCAGCATATTTTTTTTGTTACCATCTGGCAGACAGTACAGGGTGACAAAGACAAGGACAAACAGAATTAGGGCCCAGAATATCAAGGCAGAAAATCCCACAATATTTGCTTTGAACTGGTTTATCTGAGTCCATGCTGCCATATATTCCAGTTCAAAGCAGATATTGTGGGATTTTATTCAGCTGTGTGGAAGGTGCCCTAGTCTTTTTGAGGAGAATCTGAAAGAAGCACCAGCCTTTCTACTTTTTCCACTTCTGGTTTTATATAATGCCTGGGTGGGAAAATGTCATTGGCAGCCAGGGATGGCTGACCCACTGAGTTGACGCTGGCACTTTCTCCTCTCTATAGAATAACCGTCAACTTATCCATGGATCATATCAAAGTCTATAACTTGTCCTGTATTTAAACATGAGGTTAACTTATACTTGGGTACATAAAACTAGGGATTTACAATTGATATATGTATTTGGAAAAATACCTGACAGAGACACAGAACCAAGCTATATAGCTGCACAGCTATACTTACCAGACACATAACTATATCAGTACATCTAAAAATATATAGAAGGCTTTACCTTTTCTCTTTCCTCTGCATCATAGTTGTCAGGAAAGCAAGGTTTATTCTGGTTATCTTCATTAATTTCTCTCTCTTCCAAGTAAAACTGCCACTTTGCTTCAAAGTAAAACCAATGCTCCTGATATTCTAGATGCAAAACAAGCTAACTATGATACTTTTCTTCTTGGAAAGAGTATTTCAATATCACAAGCAACTGTGAGTGGCAAATGACAACATTCAATTTACAGGGATCCCATAAAGACAATGCACATCCAACCAATTATCACAATAGCAATCTCATCTTAACTTTATGCAAAAGAAAAGATTATGATTTTAAGCCTTTAACTAAAAAGATAGGGGCCCTCGACTTTCTGAAAAAGCAGAATATTGAATCTATTATAGATTTTAAGATCCACTGATCCTATACAAGTACATAGGCACACACAGGTGTGTTTAACATCAGGATTATATGCAGTGTTTATCAACAAGTTACATGGTGAAAGCCCAACCTTATAGATGTCTACTCAGATGTGTAAATCCCTTGGGTTCAGTGGAGTCTGCTCCCACGTAAGTGGATATAGGGGTATAACTTTAGTCAGAAAATAAATACTACTTTTTGAGCAATATCTCAACTTCTGCATAAGTCTCAAAAGTGGCAAACAAAAATCAAATGGTGTATTAATAATCCGAATATGACAATATTGTATCTCTTCCATTCTAAGATACACTTTTTCTCCTATATAAACACCTTTAAAAATGGGATACATCTTAGCATCACAGGTGTATGCTATGTAATTTTGTTCATGATGATGGTACTGAAATTAGGGTGCGTTTTACAATCGATGACATATTGCAAATAAAGCAATACAGTAGTTTTTAAATACCATAACTGAAGTTATAAATTAAAGAGCAATAGTGAGCCAATGGTGAAAATCCATGAAACAGTAGTCTAGTTGTTAAAAATTGGGGACCGATTATCATATAAATAAACACCATTATACGCAATTAAAAGCCACAGATAGCAAGATAAACTCAATGTGGTGCCTTCGTGACACAATACAGAAAAAATGCAAAGATATTTAAATATTTGGTCAAGAAAAATAATTTCTTCATGAACATAAAGACACCTGGAAAAAACATGCCAATTCAGACTTTAACTGATTGACAGCTTCATGTGTGTGTATGTGTGTTTGTGTCCATCCACCCACCCATCTGTGTGTGTTTGTCTTTTATGTCCAGCTTCATTTAGCTAAGCCCAAGGAGTCTTTCAAAATGTTTTTGTGTGTATTTATGGGAGTCAGTTCCTATTAACAACCTATTGATCTGCAGTTCCTACACCAAATTACTGAGCGTAAAAAATGTTCAGCCTTGTTTATTGTTTATTGTACTTTTACCTGCCATGTGCCGAATTGTCTTTTTGCAATAGTCTTCAGCCATTGGGACAACCTTCATCATTTCTCTTCCCCATTGGACCAGTGGCTTTCCTTGTATTGCATATGCAACAAAGAGAGCTGTGCACAGTGATCCCAAAAACCCTGAAATGAGCATTAAAAAATGCTGGTAATTATGGTAAAAAAGAGACAGAAAAGCCAAGAAATGTCATCAAAGGGTATAAATCAGTTTATAGACAGACACATGGAGCTTAAAGAAATCCAGCATGCACAGTTTTGAAGCTCTGATATATCAACAACACATGTGTTAAAACTAATCCCAGAAATTCTGTTTTCATAATTAGTGGGATTGCTGATAAAACTTCAAGTCAAAAAATTAAGGAAACAACCTAAGTGAAGACAAATTTACTAGAAACTAGTTCACTATTTGGAAAAATCAAAATATCCCTAGTGTTGCATGTTACAAATAGGTGCATGTGTACATGTACTTCTGAGCTCAATGATTGTAATGTGAGAAAAGGATGCATTGGTTCCAAAGAAATTATCTTCAGCATTCCCAGAATCACAATCACAACACAGGATGTGTCCAAGCTGTTCATTTGCTAATGCAAAGCTCTTTAACATCATAAACAAATTGGCTTAATTTCCCTAGGTGTTACCTGTAGGATGATTGTGAGTCATGCGTCCAACTTCAATGCTCACTTCAATGAGAGATTCCAGTCTATCAGGCTTCCAGTATTTCATCCCCAAGCACATGGCTTTTGTGGCGGCTCCAAATCCTGAACCTACAATATGATGAGGAAAAGTAAAGAAAAAGCGTGCAGCAATAAAATGGACTGTGTATGATCTAACAGGTAAACTATCATAGTAAATTTTCAAAGATAATAGAGAAGAGAGGATTTACTGACACAATGGTTCTGGTCCCTCATATTTATGTAACATGAGTAACATGGATTATTCCCATGTCCGAGATCAAGAGATATGGTTTATAAGTCAAAGACAACTGTTCCCCAGTTACCTTGAGAACTTGATAAAAAGTTTCATGCAACATTTATTATATTTATTTAAAGTATTTATATTCCGCTCTTCTCACCCCACAGGGGACTCAGGGCGGATTACAATGTACATATACATGGCAAACATTCAGTGCCATAGATACACAACATATATAGACAGACACAGAGGCAATTTAACATTCCAATTTTTCATGAGGGTATTCTGCCACCAGGGGAGCTGTTGCTTCACCGTCCATTTGTCACACTGATGAAGTACTTCCTTATTCTTTGCAGGCTTGCTGGAGATTTTTATGGCATCGTAAATTAGTTAAATTAGTCTCTCCACATAGGCGGTACCTAAATTTCCTACTTGTCAGATGCAACTGTCTTTCGGGCTGCAAAGGTACACAAATTGGTTGGACACTCACTCCGACCTAGACTGGCTTCAAACTCATGACCTTTCGGTCAGTAGTGATCTTAATGCAGCATACTCCCAGCCAGCTGCGCCACAGTCCCAGTCTTCCTTCCATCCCTTTCCCTCAATACAAGCCATCGTTAAGGAGACCAGGTTACTGCAGTCCACTATTGTGATGTGGGAATGTGTGTCAGTTCTAGGACTGGAACTCCATCCTGATGATGATGATTGTATTTCTTATCTGTGGCTCGAGGTGGGTTACAACATAGTTAAACACATAATCATTGTAAAAATTCTGTAAATAGACATATTAAATGTATTTCTATAAAATGCAGAATGAAGATTAAAACACAGGACACGAGTTTAAAATTCATTATTAAAACTGGCTGGGTAGGCGTGCCAGAAGAGATATGTCTTTTGATGGATTTTAAATTCCGACAGCTCATTTTAGCTTGGATTATTGATTTATATTGTGAATGGAGAAAGTTTGGGGGCCCCAGAAATTGGGACAGGAAACTGGATGCAAGTGGACACCAACATGTACATGAACTGCATCCAACAATGCACCAACTTTAATCTTAGTGCATAGAGATGAGATAATTGTATCTCTGTCCACTGAGATCTAGAGATGAAATTTTAGGCAGGAGTATTTAAAGATTGGTCATTCCCTTCTACCAGTAGTAAAGGAAAGGATGGGGTTAGCATGTTCCTTCCCCATGTGTAGCTAATCCAGAGCAGTGAGAAAGAGAAGAGACTGAAAACTGTAAAATCCTGAGCTAGGTAGCTGTTTCTTTTTTAGTGCTCACAGCAACATATCCCGTGTGCTCCTGACTGGAGACTGATTAGTTGGGAAGCAGGAAAAAGAGGACATGGCAGCTTGGGTTCTGTGACAGACAGCAATGTTGCTCATATTTGAATTATAACGCCCCAGCTTTCAGTTCAATGAACAAGGTGGCTGATGGTGACTTACGTTATTCATAACAATTGAGTATTATATTCTCAGACATGAAACCTGGCACGGCTTGGGGCGAATTGAACCACAATGTTGGGAATTGTAGTTCACCCACAATCAAAGAGCACTGTGAACCCAAGCAATGATGGATCTGGGCCACACTTGGCACATATACCCAAGATGATCAGCTTTGAATACTGACAGGGTTTGGGGCAAATCAACTCACAATATTGGGAGTTGTTATTCAAGCATAATGAAAGAGTACTGTGAACTCCATTGATGATGGATCTCGCCCATACTTGGTACACATACCCATCATGACTAACTTTGAATACTGGCAGGATTTGGGGCAAATTGACCCAAGATGTTGGAAATTGTAGTTCACCCACATCCTTATGCATTTTCTAATGGAAGCATAAAAAAGCAAACAATATTTCTTATATTGTCGAAGGCTTTCATGGCCGGAATCACTGGGTTGTTGTAGGTTTTTTTGGGCTATATGGCCATGGTCTAGAGACATTCTCTCCTGACATTTTGCCTGCATCTATGGCAAGCATCCTCAGAAGGAGTGAGGTCACTACCTCTGAGGATGCTTGCCACAGATGTATGCGAAACATCAGGAGAGAATGCTTCTAGACCATGGCCATATAGCCCGAAAAAACCTACAACAACCCAATATTTCTTATAAATAGCATTACAAAAGATCTAACTGGGTATCGCCTGGTATCTAAGTTAATTTCCAAATTTTTTAAAAAAATTGCTTAAAACTGCACAAAGAATTGTAGACAGTCATTTGGGCTTCACCTGGTGCCGCCTGCATGCTGCTGCACCTCCCAGTGATGCCAAATACTAACCATGACTGATTTTACTTAGCTTCCAAGATCGAGCATAGTATAACCATAGGCCCTAGTGATTCTCAGTTGTGTGTCCATATATGTTAATAATATTGTTCTTCTTTCAAAGGCCCGATCCAGTTTCTTTTTGGACTAGTTTTGATATAATGGTCAAGAGGCATGACATATGGCTTGTGGGCAATTAAACACCATATTTAAAGAAAGTTATGATAGAAGGCACCCACTTTATATTGTGACTCAGATGTTCAGTTGTGATCACTTAATCCACATGTAATCTTTCTTATATTTGGTCGGCATCATCTTCACTTTGCCTAATATATATTTGTGTTCTGAGAATGGTTCGCATAAGCAAGGGACTCACAGCAGCTAAGAATAACAGGATGTACGTTATGTCAAGCTCAGTGGCTTTGCTGTAATGAAAATTCATCACCTGGCTATTTTTCTAACTTAATGGAATTAAAGAAGAATTTCCCTGTCACAGAATATTATTTATTTATTTATTTACTTTGCTTATATACCGCTGTATCTCAAGCCCGAAGGCGACTCACAGCGGTTCACAAACAGTAAAAACAGTAGAAACAGCAGTGGTTCCATACAACATATAACAATTGACTTAACACATTATCCATAAATTACCAATAAGCAATTACAATGCACAATTATTACAAAAAACAACCGTACCCAATCTTCTCATCATCCAAGCGTAGTCCAGATTCGTCGTCCATTGTTCCATTCCTATGTTCCATTACCAGATTGTACTAAATTACTCAAACGCCTGCACAAACATCCAGGTCTTCACCTTTTTGCGGAATACCATTAGAGATGGTGCTAGTCTAATGTCTCGTAGGAAGGGCGTTCCACAGCCGAGGAGCCACCACCGAGAAGGCCCTATCTCTCGTCCCGCCAGCCGAGCTTGAGAAGCAGGCGGGATCGAGAGCAGGGTCTCCCTGGAAGATCTCAAAGTCCTGGTGGGTTCATAGGCAGAGATGCGGTCAGATAGGTAGCTTGGGCCTGAACCGTTTAGGGCTTTAAAGGCCAACGCCAGCACTTTGAATTCAGCCCGGTAGCAGATCGGTAGCCAGTGGAGTTGGCGCAACAGGGGGGTTGTATGCTCCCTGCGCTCCGCTCCTGTTAAAATCATGGCTGCCGAGCGTTGGACTAGTTGGAGCTTCCGAGCTGTCTTCAAAGGCAACCCCACGTAGAGAGCGTTGCAGTAGTCTAAACGGGATGTAACCAGAGCGTGGACTACCGTGGCCAAGTCAGACTTCCCAAGGTATGGGCGCAGCTGGCGCACAAGCTTTAGCTGTGCAAATGCTCCCCTGGTCACCGCCGAAACCTGGGGTTCCAGGCTCAGCGATGAGTCCAGGGTCACACCCAAGCTGCGAACCTGCATCTTCAGGGGGAGGGCGGCCCCATCCAACACAGGCTGTAACCCTATGCCCTGTTCGGCCTTGCGACTGACCAGGAGTACCTCTGTCTTGTCTGGATTCAATTTCAATTTGTTCGCCCTCATCCAGACCGTCACAGCGGCCAAGCACCGGTTCAGGACCTGGACAGCCTCCTTAGTAGCAGGTGGAAAGGAGTGACAGAGTTGGACATCATCCGCGTACAGATGACACCGTACCCCGAAACTCCGGATGATCTCCCCCAGCGGCTTCATGTAGATGTTAAACAACATGGGAGACAATATTGAGCCCTGAGGAACCCCACAAGACAATGGTTGTGGGGTTGAACAGGTGTCCCCCAACAACACCTTCTGAGACCGACCCTCCAGGAATGACCGGAGCCACTGCAAAACAGTACCTCCAAGACCCATCCCGCGAGGCGTCCCAGAAGGATACCGTGGTCGACGGTATCGAAGGCCGCTGAGAGGTCCAGCAGCACCAACAGGGACACACTCCCCCTGTCGAGCTCCCGGCGCAGATCATCCACTAAGGCGACCAAGGCTGTCTCGGTACCATGTCCCGGCCTAAAGCCAGACTGTGCCGGGTCTAGATAATCCGTGTCTACCAAGAATACCTGGAGTTGTGAGGCCACCACACGTTCCAAGACTTTGCCCAAGAAGGGGAGATTGGAAACTGGCCGATAGTTGTCGAATTTAGTGGGGTCCAGTGATGGTTTCTTCAACAGCGGTTTTATTATAGCTTGTTTTAAGCTCGCTGGAATCTTGCCTTCCCGAAGGGAAGCATTAACCACCACCTTAACCCACTCAGCCAATCCCCCTCTGGCCTCCTTTAGAAGCCAGGATGGGCAGGGGTCCAGGATGCATGTGGTTGGCCTCATTCCTCCAAGTATCTTGTCCACATCCTCGGGTTTCACCAATTGAAATGAATCCATCAAAACTGGACAAGCAGGTGCTCGTGTTACATCCTCAGAGACTGCCATTAACATGGTATCCAGACCAGAACGGATCAAAGCGACTTTGTCTGTAAAGAACTGAGCAAAAGCTTCACAGCGAGAAGTCGAATCGTCAGGGTTCCCACCTTGAGTGGTGGGATTTAAAAGGCCTCTGACAATTCGGAACAGCTCAGCCGGACGGTTCTTTGCAGACGCAATAGTGGCCGCAAAG